AAATAAAGTTGTTAAGGGCAGTATGCTTACTGTCTCTTTTCTATTTCTCAGCTCACAAAAAAGGCACACATTTGCATCCAGTCCCCCAGACAGAGCCCAAAGGTTAAAAAAATTAGTTATCCTGCCTCTTTAACAACTAGTTTCTTCTTCCATTTGATATCTGCAGTTTCCCCAGTGGAGTTACTAATTGTGTGCAAGTTTATCATTTGTTGTCAGTGCCCTAGACAATGTTAGCTTAACATTTCTTACTCCCTTTTGTGTGTTTTGTAAATATCTGCACTTCAGCCTTGATGATCTGAAAAGAGAATTATGGACACCACTACTGATGAACTACAATTGCTCTTCATTCATCACTGCTTCATTTAGACATACTGTAATATAGATTGAGCAGATTACTGAAAACAAGACTTGAGATTTGATTGAAACACTGACAAATTTGTTGAAATCAGGTTGGTGTTTGATGGTCAAGAACATTATGTGAGCTGTACCATTGTTTCGAACCTTTGATTACAGACTTAATGAAAAGGGACACTTACTCTCAGTCTCTCTCTCTGAAGCTTTCTTAAATAGGAAATGAAGTAATTGTATTAGCCTCTGCGTGTCATACTATAGTTTTCTGTCCTCACTCACTCTGATGTTCTCCACATGCCCACATTCCCTCTGTTGTAATAAAACCCATTTATCCAGCTCTGTGTATGTCTCGAACTCCTTGCCTCTAGGGTTAGTGGCTCTCTCCTCTGTTAGCCCTTGTTGTTTAATGGTACTTTGGATAAGCTTTGATGTTAAGGGACAAGTGCATCATTGATAACAAGTTATTCCTTCCATATGTTCTCTGCTTGTTCCCTCCACATCTCTCCTGCGGTCTTCTTCTTGAAAACACTGCAGTGCCCAGTAATGAGTGCAGGCCTCAGGACAAGGAGAGGATGGGGAGGAAATGAATCTGTAGAGAAAAGCCCAAAAGCTGCCTCTATCTTCATTGTTTTCATTTTTTTTAAATTGCCTTAATTTCATTTTAATGATAACTCATCCCTGGCAAGCTGTCCCCCTGCTGCTGCAAATTACTCTCAGATGTTGTTGTTCGAAATATTCCTGAAACCAGCAGGTTTTTCTCTGTAACACCGGAGTTAAAAATAAAATGTACAATGAGCAAGCTGAAACTGGCTGATTAGAAAATTGATTCAGAAAACCTGATGCACTGACTATCTTCAACTCAACAGGTTTTTGAAGTGTATGAACCTGTGTTAATTCAATATAAAGGTTAGGAAGTGCTTATGAGGAAGTTAAGCCCACTCAGAAAATCAGCTGCAAAAGTTGTTGACCAGAAGTAATTGACTCATTGTTGCTGAGTGTTACAGGGCATATTTTTCAGAAAAAGGTGCTATGAATTAGCACCTGTTAATGGTAATTGAGGCAACATATTCCTGCCGCATCGATCAATAAGGATTTGTATGAATGCCTTGGGTATCTTGTTCCACTTTGAACTAAGAAAGGCCTACAGATCTACAGTATGTAACCTCTGCGATGGTGGATGAGGTTGCAGTCAATGTCCAAGGTTGTCCCAAAGGAGTTAAAGTGGTGCCATAATGGGTGACAATTCTGACTAGGGAAGCACTTTCCTTTAGCCTCTGTAATTCATCAAGAACTATCTACCGGCCAGCAGAAAAACAGATGGGTGAGAGCTATGCAGGAATTCAATTACAGATTCAGCATTCGGACATCATCGCTTTTCTTTGATTACTTTTCCTTGTTTTGTTCTTAATAGTTTTCCTCCAGATTAAACCCTGCACTTTAGGCTTGCAGAGCTAAAATAATTTAGAATAGTAATTAATTATTAAATGGGTTTAATAATCAATTGCATTTACATGGAACCTTTCATCTAAAAGAATCCCGATCCTTCACATACAGTGTAAGTGGGGGCCCACTATCTTCCACTACTGAAGTGCAGCCCCCACCTGGGTGATGTGGCTTCAGCCATTATGCACCAACAGCCCCCTACACAGCAGACAAGTAGATAAAAGGCTGCAGACACGCTTCTTGTGAGACATGTTTATTATGAAACCATCTGGTTCTTTTAGCACTGGGATCTCTAAAGTCAGACAGCAGGGCTTTCATGTTGGGCAGAAGGCTCACACAGCACCTTTTGACAGCTCACTGAATCGCAGTCACCTTAGCAGTGACAGGGCACCGGGCGCAAGGATCTCCAACTGGTTTCATTCTCTCAGGCACTGTCAGTGCTCCTCAAGAGCTCCAGTGGACTAGTAGGTAAATCGTGATCACCAAGTTTATTAAAAATAACTTGGTGCCTCAACAAGGTGATGAAACCATCACATGTCAATACAATAAGGAGAGTTTAATTATTTGTCCTAATCTGAAAAATGAAAATCTGAAAATCCTTTAAATAGTGAAAAAAAGTTCTGGTAAGTTCAGCATTACAGACAAGTTCATTTTGTCATATTCCGACCTCCTATAACATGCCTGCAAAAAGCTCAATCTGTATCTCACGTGCAGTGCATTGAAGGGAGAGCATGCAGCAATAATAGGATAACCTGGCCTTCATTTAATCTGATTGGAATAAAACGAGGTGGCTGTTAAGGACATGCAGGGAGGGCATTGCTCCACGCTGAGCTAATGAATATCAATAGGAAGCAAGCTGACATCACATATCTCTCCTTGCCGTACAGGGCGCAAGCTACAGTCTCCCCTCTGCTGGGTCTCAGATGGGGTGAGGAAGCCTGACACAAGCAGAGAAAAAGGAGCCGTGAATGGACATGGGTTTTTTACTCTGTCTTTGTCTTCATGTTATCTCTATACCATCTGAATGTAATTATATGTACTCTCACTGGCTATAGGGCACATGGTTTAAATTCCAAATTTGAAAGCATGTACAGACTGGACTGGTCTTGATAGAAATCAGTAATCTGGGACTATGTATTTTTCTTTCTCCTGTTAACATTTTTTTTTAAATTATAAATTATAAATTCAAATTAATATTTGACGTCAATAAAAATATTTGTTACAGAACTAATTTCTTGATACAGTGGTGCACACTGCTAAAATGTAGATCTTCATGCAGGTTGTACTGTATCTGTACTGCACTTTTATCGTTTATTCAGGATCATTTGACCTAGACATTGCTAAATGGGAGTGTTCAGAAATTAATAGAAACAAATTTGGAGGTCAATCATAATTTAGGGAAAGGGAAAACACTAATTTTCAGATAGAATTCCTACTCCCTTGATGGTACTTTACGAGCAAGGTGTCCCGTTGATGAAAGAAATAGAGCTTCTTACTTGAGAAAGAACAAAGCACATGCGGTTCACTGAGCTCAGGTCTGTGACAGAACAGAGACTCAGCGGTTCAGACAGAAAGCCGTTCAGAAACGCTGCTCACTTGGGAGCAGCAGCGCAGAGCTGCACACAGTGGTGCAGAAAGCCTGGACTCTTTGATCCAGAGGCTGGGCTTGTGGCCTCAGCTCCCAGTCAGCCCCAGATGGGGAAAGAGTAATTTGCCTGCTGTTCTATCTTAATTGAACTTTACATCCCCTTTTTCTGTGTGTCTCAGAGATAAAGGCTATAGGATTGTTTGCTTAATCTCTCCAATACTACACAGCTAAATTCAGTGACCCATCAGCAGTTTTGAATTACCTTAATCTGAAAAAAGAACCACATCTCTCCATCTCACTCAATTATAACTGCCCCTCTTTTAACAGATGTGAAGACATTGCCTTATAATTGCACACAAGTCTTAAGAACATCTGTGTAGCTTAACATGGTATTCATCTTGCTTATTTTTTAAAACTTCTGTGTCAGTGTAGCTTTCTTTGAATACGTGTGACCTTCTTGCATATACTGTATAATAAGTTGCATGCTTCCACCCGAAGAAGGCTCCATGGCCGAAACATTGTGTTTTTTTTTTCTCTTTTCAGCATGGAATAAACCTATTACTTGTTCCTTTGCAGCCTTCTCATGCTGATGCAGCTACCCACCTATACTGTATAATAATTCCTTACATCTGTATAATCCTAAAGTTCTCAATATAACATATAAGATAGGACCCATTTTATCAACCTCTGCAGTGCAGCACCCACCTATCTGGGTGATGTGCAACGTCTGCAATATATAGCAGATCAGATGTGGAAGTGAAAATGTGCCTTATTATGGCAATTTAACTAAGGTGGAAAGATTCAGGTAGGCCAGCCAGTGAAACTCAGTTTGACATCACATCTAAAGGACAGACCCTACTACAATATTATGTCCCTGGACACAATATTTGCGGATTGGACTGGAAATTGTGGTCCGGAAAGAAAAGTTCTACCCCTGGTCCCCCAGCACCACTGAAAGCAGCAACTTGGTTTTCCTTTAAAATTTCCCATTCTAGTACTGACCAGGTCCAGTCTTATTTGGCTTCTAAGATCTTGATTAGCCTAAATCAGGCTAATCAAGAAGTGATAATGCTGCTGTCAACACAGTTACAGAATGTGTGTTAAGCTTCACTGTAGTTGTGACCAAAGATCGGGGGCAAAAAATGTGTGTATAGCTAACTTTATTTTTTAAAAGTAACTTTCACCAATGCTAGTCATGACTGAGATTTTGTATACTTTTGTAAAACAGTGTCTCTCCCTCTAAAACACCTAACACAGCTGCCGACCCGTTGTAAACCTCTGTATAGTATGTACACAGCACCACACCAGCCCCTCCAGATGAAGACTGCTCCTGACCCTCTCTGTCAAAGATGCACTCAGACAGGATGTACCTGCACATGTTTTGGGAGTGTTATGTGACAGAGTGTCCTGTACTAGATTTTGGGTGTATGTGACTAATGTGCTGTCAGATGTGACTGTGCCACTGAGCCCTCAACTGCTCCTGCTCAGCGTCAACTCCCAAGTTACAATCAATCTTCAGGCACAACAGTTTTGTTCACTGGTCTAACTGCAGATAAAATATCTATTTTAAGAGGCTGAGTGGAAACTGAGATGCCCTTAAATCGCTCTAGGTTGCATTCATTTGCAGAAAATGCTCTTATGGAAAGAAATGCAGCTAGATTACAGTTTGATAAAGAAATGTGATGGGCGGTGTGATGCTTTTTCTCGTACTCTGTCCTTGTTTAATTGCTCCCCCTTTTCCGCATTTTCTCTTCACGTGAGTTTCCATTCCTTGTATTTTTTGTGTGTTCAATTTTTATTATTTCATTCCTAAAAACCATTTGAAAAAGCTAAAAGGAGTGGAGTGTGCATGTTTGTGTGTCCTGATACACCTGAAAACTTGTATGTTAGTCTGAGAACCTGTGTGTCCTCTGTCTGTGTAGGGCTGTAGTTGTAATTCTCTGTATTTTTACATCTGATGGTACTGTACTTGTGTCCTGTGGACAGCCTGTCTGCAGCTCCTATGGCTTGTCTCAGCGACGGCTTTCGACTTCAGGAGAAGGAATAGTCTGACATTGTGAAGGCAAAGGCTGAGGGCAAGGAGAGAGCTTTGCACTTTGTCCCTTTGAAAAGAATTAAGGACAATTTTGTCTAACACTGGAAAACACCTTTAGTTAACATTAAATCCTTGAAAGTCCTAAATCTTGTAGTTTGGAAAACATGTTTAAGGCAGCAGCTCAGCAAACATTCAAGTTTTGCTAGAGTAGATTAGATGTTAAGCGATGAAAACTGTGTAACCACATTATGTCACTGTTAATGTTTCAAAGCAAGATATTATCCATTTTCTCTTCTTTTTTGTGCTATGAGAAAATCACCTCTGTTTTAATATTTTAGTTAAATAATCTCTGAGCATAATAGTTTAAAAAGGTGCTTCTTTTAGGTTTTGGCAAATGCTTTTTCCCTTGTGAAATAAAAGGTGAAATAGAAAAAGAATATCATAAATTATACAGACCAAGTCTGCCGATGTCAAAGTACATGGCATCGACAATATTTTTTATTAAATTTCTGTTTTAAGGACGCTAATGCCAATGGCTCTCTTTTATTGAGCATGGGGATTGTATTTCTAGCTGCTGCTGAAATCCTGCTGCAAAGTGAATTATTGCACAATTCAGTAAATTAATTTAAATGGGTCCCATAAAATGACAAATGGTCATTTGCGTGAGCTCCAGGACCCTGAAATTGTGAGATTTTAAATCCATACATTTTTTAGACATCGAAACAGCACAGATAAAAAGAATTAACAGTGTAATTTGTATGTGCAGATGCCGAAGGTGATGAGTACTGGTAACTCTGGGAAGCCCAGCCCCTCCCTCTCTGACACCTTCCCTAGCACTCTGTCTCCCTCCTGTGATTTCAGAGCTGAGGCGCGAGGAGCACGTTGGCATGTGTCAGCTCAGCGCCTGGGGTGGGAGCCAGTCTAATCATACACTGACAGGTCGGGCACTGCAGGGTCACTCCGAGGTAGGTCTGCACATATTCTGTTCCTTGTTATAATTTTAATGACAATTCATCAGCAGGCCCACTCTCAGATGGCTCTGTACTCTGACAGCTCTTTCGCTCAGCAGTACAGCAATCTCCCAACGCATCGCTTTTTACAGTAAGAACATTTATCCGGGGAGTCACTGGTATACTATCACAGTGCGGTGTAATGCCATTGATGGGCAAATGTGACTTTACCAGTGGTATAAAAAAGATCAGTTCATGGCTGCTTCTCCTTACATTCAAGCTAACCTTCAGCACAGGTAATAGCTAGAACACTGTAATGGTAGAGGTTGTATTTCACACTCTGATCTAATAGAAACACCCACACAGGAAGGCAGTGATAATTAGTGCCTTTACCTTCTACTTAAAATTGTCAATCACCCTTACTTACTGCCTAACATTGTCCGCTTGGGAAACTTTAAACCGAGACTTTAAACTTTTCCCAAAACATTCAACTCATCAGTCAATTTAGAAAAGGCTTAGAGTGAAGATTAATGTTAAGAGTGCAAAGTAGTCCTACTGTATAGACTAATGCTGCCACAAATATTTCTCTGTACAGTAAACCCTTAAATTCTGAGAATACGTTTGGCTCCACAATTTACAATGTTTAATGAGTTCAAAAATACTCAACACCATGTTTTTTTTATTAATAGATTACTGTGTTTTTAAATGCTGTACAGAAATAAGATTTTGCCAATACATGTACCTTATATTTCACCAAAGATCTTTCACCTACACTGTTCACACGCCATGACCTGCAGCTCCCAAGGGTCAGCACATACTTTAAATGCTGCAAGAACTGTGCAGTGACCTGAGAGTGAGGATGCCAAATCCTCTCCTGTGTCACGGCGGGAATGGGAGCCAATGGTTTGAAGATACAATATGTCTGTTGTCTTCTCTCCAAGACTGCTGCAGGGGTGGTGGTAATTCATGTTAAAAAGTTACCAGATGTTCTACATTCATAAGTGCAAAGAGTAAATTTTAATTCAAAAAGCTTCCAGATTTGGAGTATAAAATGTGAAAAATAATTGACTTAATCCACTTTTGTACACTACAGCCCAAAACATTTTCAAACTGTAACATTTAAGCTGCCCTATGCAGTTTCACCCATTAAAGTGTTGTATTGTAAGCTTTCTAGATGGTAATAAAATGCCTCCGTCCTGAGTGCATGTGAGGGATTGCAAGCTGTGCTACTTGCTGAGCGTGGCTAGGAGTTCTAAACTAAAATGTACATGGCTGGAGTTGCAAGGGAGAGTGTCAGTGGAATTTCCTGTTTTTTATGGACCAGTAACTTGTGCCAGTGGTTACACGCATCAGCAGACGATGGTGTGGTTGGAACTTGTAACTCTACTCAGCAGTTCAGAGTGTGAAAAGAACTGCATTTGGCAATGCAGTTCACATGGTGTTGTGGTTACTTCAGTCCTCTCAGATCTATGCAGGAGTCCTGTCCAGGTTAGTAAGTATGACTGGAAAGCAAATCCAACCTAGTACAGTACATACAAAGGGTTATGGTGAAGTTGTTTTTTCATATGTGGGTTCATTTCTTACTGCAACTTAGGATTTAGCTTACAATTCTTCACGTTTTACTACGGTGCATAACATTGAAATCACAGCAAGAGGAAAGGTAGTGGAAGGACTCCCTTCTTGGCTGTCAAAGTAGAAGCCCCAGGGAATGCTCACCATACTGTATGTCTCAGCTGAGACAGGTAAGACAGCACTTTGTTCTCATTCCAAATCGCACAAGAGCTCCAGAGCCCATGCATCACTCAGATGCCTACATGCAAACACTTCTCCCCCTTTACCATCACCTTCCATGATGCTTATTAGCTTTGATTAGATGCAATGACTGTAGGACAAATGATCTAATATCAAGGGGGCACTAAATTGATGTTGACTAAATTAAAGAGCTGGCTCGCAGCAATCCCCAATCAATCTGATGCAGAATGATTGTGTTCTCTTACAAAGCAGGCACTCCAGCTATCTCCAGCCTCACTGTCACTAATTCTGTCCTCTCTGGATGCTGGGACATGAACACCACTTGTCTCCTCTTCATCTCACTGGTTCTTTTTACCCCATCCTAATCCCCTTCCCATTCTGGGATTATTTTCTCTTTAGTTTCTCAGGAGTTGACAAGAGCTGTCCTCTGTCTTAGGATGGCTATATTTTAAAATTCACTTTACCTTAATTTTCATATTTCCTTTATTCTTTCACTAGTAGGACAGACGTGTGTTGGATGTTGATGGGGGGGGGGGGAGTTATGTTGTCTGTGAAAAAGGCAAAAGAAACATTGCAATATCCAGTACCAATATGGATTAATAGTTCTTGAAGAGTCCACAGTGTAAGGTCTCATCAGAGCACAGTACCAGAATTTTAATGCTGCAAAAACACCATTTGCATGTAAAACAGATTCCCAATTGAAGTCACTGAACAAAATGTTAGGTCACAATCATTATTACATGCGCAGAAAATGACAAAAAGATTGCATTAAATTACAACACCTTACAATCCAGCTGGATCCTCATCAGGTAGTGATTATAATACTTAACAATCTGGTATCAAATCAACCTTTTGTTTTCCATTCTTTTGCTTTCTTCTCTAATGTTATTTTCACTTTTTCTTTCACTGGAGGTTATCAAAATGTTCTTGCAGTCATGAAGGAAATGAAGAATGAGTTAAGGGGGAAAGAGAAAAGTGGGTGTAGGGGAATGAAATGGAGTCAGAGTGGGGAGAGCGTTGGGAGAGAGGACAGCTCAGTACAATATGATTTATTTCGGAATCATGGCAAAAAGTCCCAAGGGGGGAGGGTCATCAGGGAATTGGTGATGAAGGTCTGTGCGCATGAAGGTGATAAATCTTCATTTCCCAAACAAGCCAGACAGATATCCTTCATGTACCCTGTGTGTTCTTGAAGCCAGAAGCAAACATCGCTGTTTTCCAGTTTTGGGGCGTTGATGATTTTTCAATTCAGAGGGCTTTTAGGGTTTAGTGCACTCTGTGCTTACTAACTGCCCTGAAGGAATGAGTGGTGCAGAGACAAGTTTGCAGGATAAGGGTGTAAACAATCATATTTCACTTCATCTTGTGTCTGTAGAAATGTGGTTACGTTGACACATTCTACATCAGGCATTGCCAATTCTGGACCTGGAGAGCACCAGTCCATTTATTCTTCTAGGTCACCCCAAATTACCAGTTACTTAAAGATTAGGAACAGTTGTTTAAGGAGTTTATTAATTAACACAGTAATGTATCAGTGAAGGGAACAGCGGCCCTCGAGAACTGAAGAATATTCTGGGTTTTGTTCTGAAGGATCTCCGCTATCAAAATAATTACTTAATTGAACATGCCACCTGTTTAACTGATTATGGTTAAATTGTTCCTAGAGAAACTGGCGTTTAAAAGCTTTGTATAACACCTGTAGGACTGAGGTTCTCCAGGACCAGGGTTGGAGACCCCTGTTATAGATTTTAATGATGCAATTACATTTTTTCAATAAGGCAAAAAGGTGTGTTTTCTGAAGAAACAAGAATAACAGCAACAACTGACTACCACTGGGAATCCTCCAATCCACCCGTAATCACAAATACGCTTATTCATCACCCTAATCTGGATGCTAGTCCATTGCAGAGCACATACATACATGTAGGGACAATTTGGATGATATAATGAATATCTGACACCCAGAGAAAAACCATGCAAATGGAAGACCAAAGAACGGTCAGGCAATAGTACCAACTGTCATGCCAATGTGCTGTCCAAAGTCAGTAACAGTTCTCTTGAATTCTATTCCCTGACAACACTCACTTTTTGTGCTCATCTTTCAACACACTACTGTGCGTGTTATATTATGTAAAACAAAATCTAGGCTCAGCTCACTGCCCATCTTTCCCTTGGCACTTTTTAGTGCCTGCAAGGATTTAGTCCATTTTATTTCTCACAAAAATATTAGACTGTTCTAGTTATGAAGGTAGCGCCCTTCAAGAATGCAACCAATTCATTAGTCTATCAGTCAATAAAAACGTCAGTGTGTACAATCACTGAGAGAGACTACAAGTTCCAACAAAGCCCTATCAAAAGCAAATGGAAGAGTGGTGATAGTGCATCCCCTGCACACCACTGATCTGAAAACCCTTGGATAACCCTTGTTAGATAAGCATCAGCCAGCAAGTGAATAGGCTCATTAAAAAAGGATATTGATACCATTTCTCCAAGCAGGCTATGGAGAGTATGGGCCTCTTAACATGAAGAGATTGAAGAGATCAGTGCAATAGGTTGCCCCCAAACATATGTACTTCAGTCCCAGGTGACACTTACCCCAAGCTGCTGTTGGTATTAGTTTCAATGTAAAAGATCCATTACTGCCATCCTGGGATGCATTAATTAATGGATGTTCCACTGTTCTCTTACCGCTTTGGTAATCAGTATAGTTTGAGATCTGATATGTAAACTCAATTGCGTATGCATCCCACTTTGTACAGGTGCGATCGTTTAACAACTAAAGGAAAACCGGAGAAAATGAGAAAGAAGATTCTCACTTCTGAATTCACACAAGTTCATTCGATTTTCTGTCACTAAAATTCATGTTGTCATCTACAAAGAAAGTGGAATGCTCTCCTGCAGACACATTTGAACTGGAAGACTCATGCTCTCTGATTCAGTCTTTGTACCACCCGTGACATATGAGAAATTTATTCCATTTGTAGCACTGTGAGTAGCACATTGCTTCTGATTTACAACAGCTTATTTTGGTTGTATGTTTCTCAGCTCATGTCTCTTGTGTATTGTCATCTGGTTCTATTTGCGTTATTTGATTTCTTCTTGTGGCTTAAATCTTCATACACAACAGGTTTCGTCAACATTTCCCTTCATTTTCCTCCCTCTCACCTGAGTCTTCTCAGCCTGGCAAACCTATTGCTCTCCCATCTCCAATATCTCTTCAACTGATTCAAAGTCAATTTCTACTTTCACTGATTAGAGAACAT